AACATAATAGAAGAAATAAAGTAGATAGATACTCCCTAGAACACATAGTGCTTTTGCCAAAAGACAATTTTTTTACCTTGCGCCAGTACTATACAATAAATTTAACAAAATTTGTATTGCTAAAAGCTACAACAACCATCAAATCAAAAATAAAATTATTAATTGGCTTCAAACTTATGACTATGACGCTACCGAATGTCTATTAAACCTCTAATATGTAAATGTAATTTTTTATTGTTCTTATATTATTTGTTATTATACGTATATAACACACACACGCACGCGCACGCGCACACACACGCGCACACACACACGCGCACACACACGCGCACGGACACACGCGCACCGCACACACGCGCACGCACACACGCGCACTTCTCTGCGCGTTGGGTACCCAGAATGTTAACCGACGAGCAAAAGAAAAATCGAGTTAACATTTAGAGGGTCAATCTCGAAAAGTTCCAAGCCGATCAAGAAATTTTTTTGTTCCGTTTTGTGACTATGGACGAGATGTGGATCCACCATTTTGATCCTGAAACGAAACAACAATCGATGACTTGGAAGCGAGCCTCCTCACCGACGCCAAAGAAATTCAAAGTTTCAAGTTCCGCGGGAAAGGTTATGGCATCTGTTTTTTGGGACGCTCAAGGCATAATTATGGTGGAACATTTGGAAAAGGGTGCCACTATTAGGGGCTCTTACTACGCAGACCAAATAAGAAGATTTACGGAAGGCCATTAAGGAAAAAAGACGCGGCAATCTGCGAGCTGGAGTGCTGTTTCACCAAGACAACGCACCGACTCACAAAGCCGCAGTTGCGATGGCTGCCATTCAAGAAACGGGATTCGAACTGCTCGAACACCCTCCCTATTCGCCAGATTTAGCTCCTAGTGACTTCTACCTCTTTCCTCGGCTCAAGGAACGCCTCCGAGGCAAGAAATTCGAAGACGATAGCGAAGTAATGGCCGCTGTTGAAGCGTTTTGGGAGGGTCAAGACAAAGAATTTTTTTCAAAGGGAATCCTGGGTTTAGAAAAAAGATTGACTAAATGTATTGATTTGTTAGGAGACTATGTAGAAAAATAAATTATTATTTTAACTTTAATTAACGTGTTTTATTTTCATTATCATTACTTTTGGATCACCCCTTGTATGTATAAATTCGTCTTTGTTGCAATAAAGATTTTATATAGGGTAGTGGATATTCTTACGCCGCCACTACACGGTTGGCATTCCTTTGAGAAAAATATTTTTATTCAAAGTACTTGCTGCATATAGTCGAATATTTTATTTTTTAACTAAGATATTTGAAATTTCCGACGCGATGTTCAGTAGCTTTTGTAGCACCCATGGTCAAGGGTATCCTGAAGTGTTCGTCTTTGAAGTCCTTAATAAGCCAGGTTAACTTCAAAAACAAGCAAGTTGAGGTGCCGTAGTTGTTATAGTAAGTATAATTACCGGCACGAGTCGTGAGCACACTTTGGGTGCGTTTGGTAGAAAAAAGCGCAGCAAGCGCTTGTAAGCAAAATGGCGAAACTAAACAGTTTTCGGCCAGGACACGTTTGCTAACTTCAGTAGCGCTGACACAATCCGCCATTTTGCTTATTTAATTTGTTTGTTTTGAAGTAGAGTTTATAAGTTGTTTTGTGCAATATTAGTTTTAAGTGATATAATGACATGAATCGACATATACATGTTATTAAAAATTCATGATTGGTAAGTTTTTAATATGAATACTTTACAAACATATATTTAAATTAGGTTAGATTCCCCGGTTAAAACTAACTTCGTGTCCTAGAGGAAAATAGCTACATACAATTTGACAGTGCTTACCGCTTACGATCACCATTTTGCTTACAAGCGCTTGCTAGCGCTTTTTTCTGCCAAACGCAGCCTTTTTATTGGTCGATATGACATTGACCACGCTGACGCTCGTGATTGGTTCGTCAGCCGATTCTAGTCGTCTATTGGTTTCGCACGTATCATTCGGCTACCGTAAGTTTGAGAGCAATTTTAGTGACAACTTTTTAATTAATTTATTTTTGTTAATTGTAGTGTTACCTCGTTGTTAAGAGGGCATATGCGTTTCGCGTCGAAAACTACATGTTTTATGGTTTTTCCAAAGGCGATATCGTAACGACGTGAGAAGATTATTTGCTGAAAATTACGGCTTCAAAAAATGTCAATTGTAAATAGCAATCAAAATCTACTTCAATGATAATTTTTTCCATGTATTTGCTTATAAACATATCTATTTTCATTATTTTACCAAAATACATAGTAATGTTAAATATCCAACCTAAAAATAAAATTTTTGCTCGTTTTATTTTGTCAACGTTATTTTATATAATATATATCTTTAAAAATACTATACAAAACATCATGCGCAGCACTGTTCGTTTCAACGGTAATTTTTATTATAGAATAGGGTTACAAAATCACACAGTCCACCTGATGGTAATCATGTATTTGCTCGCCCTATAGACATCTCATCTATCTTCCATTATCATATCAAAATCACTGTCACCTAACTAGATGAATGCCTCATCATAAAAAGTATCACAAAAATAATTAAGCTCGTTTTATTTTGTAATTATGTTATATACTTCCCCATTCTTACAAATACTATAATATAATGCGCAGGCACCGTTCATACCACCGGTAAACCCAACGACAGGACGTATCACTTTTTCTCACCGACACCGCGCGATCGCGTTGATACACCGATAGGGCTATACTACACCATACTATAACTAGATACCTATAGATTACTGACTAGATACCTATAGCACCATCGCGCATTTTAAACGATTGAGACTTTTATAAGCGATATTTTTGGTAGTAAGTAATTTTGAAATATGTTTATGATTGTAATATTTAAATATTAAATGATGTAACGTGAGTAATGAACGTAAGCAATTCGGATCAAGTAAAAATACAAAATCGTTGGCTTTCACCTTTGGCTCCGTGGCGGAGTGACTTGGTAATGAGTTGTAGCGCTGAGCGCCGCAGGTTCGAATCCCACATTGAGCAAAAATTTGTATTACCTACAAATAATTGTTCCAGATCTGGATGTTTGTCCTTGTGAAATTAATGTATTTAAACTGCCCCAACGATGTACTTAGGAAAAATTCCTAGTGCGGAGATAACGTTATGATTAAACAAAGATTAAACTTGTAAAATAACCAAGTCTCGCAATGATGATACGGCGGTGCCGCTGTTTTGCTCGACTTGGCGGACCTTCCCCCCCCCAACATAAAACATATGAGCCGTGCTTGAGTTGAGTAGCTCAAGGGCGTAGTGCTCGCCGTAAACGCGAACAATCCGGGCTCGATCGCCGCTAGTGTTGCCAGGTGTCCCGATTTGCGCGGAACGTCCCGATTTTAAAGGGTCTAGTGACATGTCCCGATTCACCCTTGATCAGGACCCCAAATGTCATTTTCACTAACATTCTTATTCTATACTTTAATCCATAATTTAGACAGCAAAAATGATTATATCTGTTAGCTACTACCACATTAAAATATTTTTACTACGACATTGTCTCACTAGTCGAAAAAAACCACAAAAGTATTAAACAGAATTATATTAAAAGGAGTGATTTGAAAAATTCAAGGACTGCAAAAAAAAAAAAACAAATAGTTCAAAAATGTTATAATTTGCTTAAAATGAAAAACAAAATAAGTTTTTACGATGTTTGGATGAAAAGTTATTCGTTTATGAGATCAGACCCGAATAATAATTATAAAGCACAAAAATAAAGTAAAGTTACAGTCACAATTTCTCGCATTACTCGCATGTGATATTTACACTTTACAGTTAGCGTTGACCATCTGAGCTACCACGGCTCTCAATAAAGCTCAAAAAGGCTACAAAGAAACCTATATTTTGTAGTCATTGTAGTTGTCCGGATATGAAAACCAAATCCCCGATTATTTTTACCTTCCGTCCCGAAATTTTACTTGCTAGACCTGGCAACATTACTCCCCGCCGACACTAATGAAATTGTTAGTTTGTGATGAATTATGTTTACATTATGAAACAGAATAAAAGTTTATCAAATGATATATATTTTATACAATACATATTTTTCAATTAGAACATATACATATTATAATATACTCAATAGGGTGAAAATGTAAAGCCGACTTCAATTTACTAAAAGAATAAAACAATTTCCACATATTAGCCTCCGATTTCTATACACTATATAAGCCATTATATGGAAATTATTTTTTTATTATTTTTGTTCCAATAGTGTCAAAGACAGGTATATAATCAAAGATCAAAGTGATTCGTAGTCGTCGTTAGGCAACTAATGTTTATAGCCTCACGCTCGCCCTGACACGCACACATAGATAACATTGTAGTGTGCGTCAATATTACGCCGATCCAAAGCGATCGCGTAGATTTCGTCTTGGACATATTTGAATATGCGCTCTTAATTGTTGTTTGTGTATTTCTTGTTTTTAACTGTTTTCGATATTTCCTGTCGTTAATTATTTTTTTGTTATAAAAATTGGTCGAAATATACAGAGAAGAAAGAAATCGGTGTTAAATAGACAATACCGACAAATGGTCTATTCAGTGTTTTGTTACATGAAATAATTAGATATTGCGAAAAACATGATAGACGTTTATAAACAGACTGTTGAGGCGACTAATGTCTACGTAGCTACTGTACGGCGTACAGTTAAAGGAATTAACGACTCAGAATTTCGAAAAAAAGTCAGCGAAAATATTTAATTATGAATTGAAATAACAAAAGTACCTAATAATTTTGGCCGATAGTGTACTTACGCTGGCTCAACCCCCACCCTAGTTCATCTGTGCTCACGTATAGTGCCGGCAACTATAAACTGTTAACTAATCAGCAAGAGAATTTTCAATGTGTGAGTTTGTTTGTAATATTGTGTCATGGAGGTTATCTTGATGTAATACCTACATGTCTTTTTTTGCATTCCCTGAGATATACCTAATAAATATAAATAGAAATACTCACCGAACAGTTGTCCCATAATTGTTTTATATACAAACATATTTAAAAATTGAGACATAGCAATGAAATCTTGCAATTTGAATGGATCCTGTTGCTCGTACATTTCCATATCATCTAAAATACTGAAAAACAAATTTTATTACATAATTATGTTATGTGCACTTAATATAAAAGATACACATTAATATGTTCAGAATATTAAATACAACACAAGTTGAATATTGTTATGTATTCAGCTTGGTAGCATGACAAAATACAAATTGTTATAAGTTATTAAATTAACTACATTACAATATTTACTTTATAAATTAACAAATTAAACAAGCACTTCTAAATAGAACAATAATAAATGTTTGAATACGATACATATATTTAGGAAATCCTTAAGAATAATTCTTTCTGAATTATTTATGAAAATTCGCTGGCATTAATTTTTTTTACGATTTTAGTTACGTAGTCTGGTGCCGGTTTTAAAAATCTTGTGAGCGTTATAAGAAGCTACTTCAGGATTGCCAGAAAGATCTTTTTTTAGGAGGCAAACGATCATACGACTCACTTGATGGTAAGCGATCACCGTCGCCCAGATGAATTGCAGGTGCGTTGCCGGCCATTTAGAAAGGAGTATGCTTTTTTCACTCTAGGTAAAAAATAAGTCCAGCAAAAATGGTACGGAAAATCCGCTGGCGACAGTAAATTCCACAGTATGGTCGTGCGACGCAGAAATTCCGCTAAAATGCTTGCAATCATCCATAAATTCTGATATTATTTAAACACTGAGAAAAAACCCGAATGTATGCAAAATAAACATAATATGTAAGGTCCTTTAACCCTCAGTGGTGGGCAAGTTCTTGCTCCATTTGTCTCTCGAAAATTCAAGGTTTGAGCCGGAACGCCAAAATAGCCTACGTTATAATTACAATTTTATTAAATGATAACTCTAAAGTTACCGAAACACTTACGTGACATAGTGCGTCATGCAATCGGCAAAGAGTATCAACATTTGGAATTCCGGTGCAGATGTCTTTGTATTTACAGCTAAGAGGTCAAGGAATGACTTTAAACCGCAATTTTGACCCAATGTGCACAGAAACTGCCACAGCGAGTACAGAATTTCATCTTGGTTGCACAGACCTACAAAAGATATGCTTTTTTGTTAATACAAAAATCTGTAACTTATACATACATTAGTGGACTTTTGTAATTTGTATGACACAAACAATGTCTAATAGAAGTTGGTATACTTGTGTTATAGTATACAACAGTACCATGACAAACAATCACAACGGCACTGCATTCTTAACCATCTTTAGTAATTTATTTTAAATGTATTCAATAAAACATGGGCCGAAGAGGCCTGTTCCATGAGTAATGATGACCTGGGAAAGGTGTTACAAATTATCGCGTATAGCAAGCCAGCCAGTCAGCTCAAGTCAGATACTAGTCTTCACTTGCTTAACTTTAAGTGAGTCAAAATTTCGTTGATTTCCCATTTTATGTCATAATTAGATATTTAGGATTTAAGAAGAAATAATATGATGATTCGACAATAAAAACTAAGACATCAATACAAAGCATATTTTAGATATACAAATAAAAGGATCATTTTTACATTATACAAACACAATTTGTTCTTTAATTTTCAAGACATTTTTTCTATTTCATATAATGTCATGTATAGCACAAGAAAAATAAATATTGTTTACCTGTAAGTATATCCAATTTAACTTGCGTCAAGGTTTGTAGTGCCGTGTGGTACATAGAGCAAATTAATGCTGTTTTAGTACAGTCAGGCGAGCCCAGTTTTCTATAATTCTTGTGGGAGTTGGATCTAAAACATACATTTCCCACACTCAGTAACTTTTAACTTACTTTTAGGAGCAATAAGAGTTTGCTTTAAGATATCAACTTTAATTTAAGTATTATCATCGGTGCGACATTACACATGCCAACACAATGACCTCAAAGTCTACATAAACTTGTTTTAATTCATTAGAGTCTTTATTTCAGATATAATAACAGTTCAACAAAAAGAAAAAGCAAAATATTTTTGTTTTTCTATATAGTAAAAATCTATTTAATAAAGACTGATATAAAATTAAATTGATTGGTTAGTAACTAATTTACCCTACCTGTTTGTCCTGGCTTCAATCGCTCTTCTAATAAACGCTGCTGGGTTACTACTTTGAATGGGAGTTGATGGTTGTGAAGGGCCAGCTCCTTCCTCCCCACTCACACCAGAATCAACCATTTCTTTAAGTGGCGTTGCCATTATCTTCTTCAACAAAGGAGCTCCCCATAGCAGTGATAATTGATTGCGTAGGTTTCCCATCGTAGGGGGCAAGTAAGCATCAAAGCTTTGGGAAAACCAGCCAAGTATGGGATGCCAGTTGCTAAGATTACCTTTTTTGCAAACAACATATTGCTGACAAGAATCTAAAAATCTTGTCACTACTAGCTGAAAGCAAAATAACGATATAATACATTACTTCAATAAATTGTTTATTTTAACCATTTTCCTGGCCCATGAATCATATATGAACATTTCAAATGTTTAACTACTCTGCCTGTTTTGCGGATAGGGAAACTGTTAAATAATAATATGCCTTTTAGCTTAGTTTTTTAACATTATTTAATATAATAACTATTTAATTTGAGGGTAACAAATTAAATAGTTATTATATATATAATATAAATTGAACTATTTATATGATAATATAAATAGAATAAAAATACATCAAATTTGAATAAATCCCGGTTACGTTATAATGACTTGGGTATTCTGAATATTCATAAAAATTCATTTTTTTTGTCTTGCAATAACGGTTGTCCACTAAACATAACACACACACACACAAACAAACACACACACACACACAAACAAACACACACACACACACACACAAACACACACATACACACACACAAACATGCACGCGCGCGCTCGTACGCACCACGCTCGTTTGTTCGCTCCCTCACTCACTCACTCATTCTAGACAAACCATACCTCCACCAAAACATTTATAATATAACACTTTTGCAAATAGATTTGATTTGAGGTCAAAGAGGAGACATAAGTGCTACATTTTTACAAGTTCTTTTGGGGAATTCTTCATGGGATTTATTATCCTGGTGAATCACACTTACCACGAAAGTGGGGTAGTAGGACTCGGGCAGTGCATGTTCTCTCTCCAGGTGTGCCAACTGCACCAGGTTGGCAAGTAAGCATAATGCGTAATTTCCTTCTAAGGTGTTGAATACAATGCGCATATTTTGATCAGTACTCAAAAACTCCAGGCATTTGTCAAACACTGAATGTGAACGGTATGCTGATATAGACTGTAAAAGTAATAGAGGTCAGTTTAGTTTATTGATATGCAAATGAAAAGAATTTAAAAATAGCAGAATTTTGTATGCTGAAGTGGAAGTTAGACACCATTTTTGAACCTAGAAAATGAATGGTGTAAGGCCTTATGCTATGTAGTACTATTATTTATTCTGTGTTTATGCTTATTAAGGATAAAAGCGAGATTTTAATAGCTAAGCATGAATTAGGAATATTTGTGAGATTTCAAATATGTTGCTTAGATAAAAAATATAATTTATTTTGAGGAGATACGTCTTCTACAGTACTTCTTTTTTTAACTTTCTTTCTTTTTTCTTTTCTTTATCTATAACATTAATTGTTTAAATAGCAGATTCACACAGGAGTAAAAGTTATGGAAATCAATAAAAATAAAATAAGTACCAGTTTCTTACAAGAATAATTTCATCCAAGCTAACACTGTTGCAAACAATCTATCTAGTTGGGATTCAAATCCAAGTAAAGCGACATAACGACGTAATAAGGTTTACTAACCACTAGGTTAGCTAACCACAAGTCCACACAGTAGTCAAAAGCTTAAAAGGCCAATAAATAGTATTGATTTAGAAAATATGAATATGCTAGAGATACATACCTCTGGCGATATTTGTTGCATGTGGAACACGAGTGTAGGCACAGACAAAATCTGTATTATATACATAGTGAGAAGTTTCTCTGAAAATTGGGCTGATACAAGTGGCCGCAGAGACAGTGTCACTATTGCTGTTAATGAGATATTCTTAAGGCTGACTTTTTCACGACACAAACCGCGAAGTAGGAGTGACTGGTGAATTAATAACAATATTAATGATGCGTGGTATTCATTCTAATAGAATACATGATGTGTTAGTACTTACTTTCAATGTTAAATAGTAACCTTTATGGAATAATGACCCCATAATGTTAGCACATAGTTGTGTCATCCCACCCCTAAGTTTGTCAAAATTTTTAAGCCTTGTCAGAGCCCAAGTGTTGGTCGCTGTAAAAGCTATAAGTGTATGCAAATGGATAAGTATACTCTGCATGTCTATTGGTGATTCAGGTTTCAACTCTTCAAGATATAAACAGCATTTGTAAAGAAGGTCCTTTATGTGGGCTATCCACTGGAGACTGAAAGGATTAAAGTTGAATATTAACACAAACATCCACTGGAGACTGAAAGTATTAAAGTTGAATATTAACACAAACATTTTTGCACGTCAGATTGAAACTAAAATAATTCCACTGATAAAGTGTAATGTTATGCCTACACACGTAGCGCTGCTGATTACAAGCCTCTTCACACCTCCGAGAGGGTTTTCAGGAGAGGCGCAGGTAGTTCTAATGCATGTTGGCAAACTTCACTTCTTACTGGTAATTCAGTTTTAATTTTATACAGTTTAGAAGTGCTTGTGGTTTTTAAATCAAGTAAATTATTTTAATTCATGTTTAACAAAAGAGTAAACTACTCAATGGTTAGGAAAATATGCATAAAATTTCATATTACACTAGCATTTTAGCCCCATTCTCTCTGCTATTAAAGTATCAATTGAGAATAAATAAAATCATAGGAAGCTTTCTACGAATTTTGTTAATAATATTATTAGAATACTATTTTAATAAGCAAGTCTAGAGTTTTAGGTAGAACATTTCAGAACCTGAAATTGTTATCACTGCAATAAACACAAGGTATACATCAGTTGGTTTTAGTGTCAGCTGCAGTATCATTTTGTTGAGGATTTTAGTCTTAATTGATGTACGATACATAAGAAATATGTTGTTTTCAAGAAATTTATATTCATAGCATTTGTTATTAATGAGGAAAATATTTAACAAGGAAAATATGATAGAAGAGATAGATACCAATTTACCAATGGTAAAATTAGTCTCTTTCTAATATTGTAATATGTAATTAATTCGAAAAATAAATAAAAAATTATTATAGAAATGCTAAAAAAATATTCATTTCCATTTTTTATTGCGATTTTGGTCTGTAAATGTTAGATTATTTCCACTTACAATAATATCTAAAACTAGGTGTTTTAAAGTCCAAAATTATAATAAAAATAACTTTGAATTACTTTGATTTTGTTCTCTTAAGTAAAATCACCAACAGCAGCCTTTTTTGCCTTGCTCTTTTGTTTCTTAGCAGAATACATAAGGAGTGCTTACTAGTGTGAATTAAATAAGTAGAGATTTTAATTTTGATGCCCCTTTCTCAGGGGGTTTACACCAGAGTACACAACACTTTAATTTTTAAAAACAAAGTATCTCAGAGGGGGAGGATTCTCACTCCACTATTCAACACACTATCTAAATTGTATTTGGTTTCTAAAGTTAACTAAACTATTTTAATAGGAAATTTTCAAATAGGCATTATATTAATAAAAAAAATTAAGTCTATAGTTGAAAGTATAGGGAAACGATCACCTAAAATAATAACAGTTATGAAATTAGTGAAATACCTATTTTTTTTTCACCATTATGTATGGTAAATAAGTAGAAAGTAGATATTATTTGTAAGTTATAATATTACAATATAATAAAAAAACAAATTTACAATTACATAGCCCGAACAGAGCCTTTAACTAACCATATTTTTAAAGGTTAATTTATGTTTTACCAAAAAGTGTTGATGAATGGTTGTCAAAAAATTACAGCAATGATTTCGCTTGAATCAATAAACTGATTTTGATGAGGTTTCGGCAATTGACGTTGATTTTTAAGGTTAAGAACTGAACTGAATGGATCAATAATAATTTAAAGTTATCACAAAAAATAATTTTTTTTTGAAAATGTATATTTTGAGATTTCTCAAAATTGACTTAACCAAATTGATTCAAAATCACATGATATCTAATGGCAATAGAACTATAAAGAATCCTGTGAAACACGTTTCGATTGGTCAAGCCGTTCAAAAGTTATGAGTATATATACACACACGCACGCACACACACACACACAAACAATACACATAATGGGACATCCTCATAGGAATAGTCAGAATAGCGATTTCGAAAATCATTGATTTTCATAGTGGGAAATTAGAAATATTATATTAAAAATGAATAAAGCAATTTACCTGTACTCTTTGTTTAGGAACACTCCAACATATGATAACTTTACAGACTCTGAATGCAAACTTTGTACTATATATTTGCAAAGCTTTTCAAATCTCTTTTTGTCCCTTGGTTGTTTAAATACCAGAAATAAACGGCAAGTGATTCTGTATATATCCAGAGCTGGAATAAGCTCAACAGGATGTGTAGATTCATCTTGAGACCCATGTGGCATAGATTCAGGAAGCAATTCATCAAATTCTTTTCTAAAATAGTTGTAACCAAATCAAAATTATTTATTACCTCAATACAGTAAGGTAAAAAAGTTACAACCTATATTACATCCTATTGCCTTAGAAATGAGAAGAGACCTGTGTCCTGAAGTGATAATATGGCTATAACTTTACTTTTTATTGGAATCATTTCATCGCAAGAAATGAATGATTGACAGACATGTAATTTAAATATTTTACCCAAGGAAGCATAATAAAATGGATGTAATTGAACACAATACTATAGTTAAATGTTATTATAGGACATGAAATCAAAGTTTTACAAAACGAGTGTAAGATAAAGTAACAAAAATTTAAGATTTATTGGATGTTACTACGAATAAATTTATGTAGTGATAAATTTAGCATAAATTTTAAGAAAACTTACAATATAAGTTTAACAAATCTCTGTCTGGCGAGCCAACCTCGCACTATAGCTTGAATTCTAATAGCGGATTGCTCGCGCTTTTTTTCCAATGCTCGTTCTTCTCTCGCTGCTTTGGTCTGCACAAGGAACGTATCCTTACTAGTTAAAGACTTGGAAAACATATTTAATCTTTATATTTTTATTTTATACACCAAAGGCTTTATTTCCTTATTTTGTTGTCAAGATAAAGACTTTTTATCCAATACATTGCAGAATCTGGAGTTTATTGTGGTAAAAATAACATTTTCAAAGCTTATCTCTAAACCCAGAAATGAGGATTTACGACACTACAATGCACAATCATGTTTTTAAAATTGGTATAGGGTTGCGTTCAAACCATTTAGAAAAATTTATATTTGTTTTACAAAGCCGAGAAGATAGCAAGAAATCTTTTGACAGTTTGACACTAGGCTTGGATAAGAAATATCGTTATATCGAAATGTCGATATTTTAAAAATACATCGGTATATGTGTATACCATTGATATTTTTAAATCGCGATAGATCTGATTTCGATATTTATTTTGGACTATCAAATTCTTATTTTTGCGCCATATCATACTATATCAAGCAAAACATGATATATCGACATATCGATATTTATTAATACTAAATAAAAATAAAATTACTTCGCAACCTTCCGCTAGCTAAATACAATAATGTGTCTTACCTGGATTGAAGAGCACCTCCCCCGCCCTCCCTCAATTGCATGCACTAACTCCGCCATCACCACTAGTCCCAGCACCACTATTCCAGGTAAGACACACCACCGACGATAATACGAAACGTGTTTCGCCTGTACACGAGGCATCCTGAGGTGATGGAGACTCTACAGCGGCTGACCCCTAAGTTTTTTTTTTTGCGCCCGAAGCAATTAAAGGGCTACCCTATACGTAGGGAGGCGGAAAATGCATTACGCATACCACGATAGCCGGTCTATCGTGGTTATGAGGGGCTCACTGTCCTACCGGGGACCCTAAGTGATACCCTCTAAAAACCGCCTTTGGGGACAGGCAGCCGGCTGATTAAGCTGTATTGTGCCTTATCATGAGCGACCCTCTTTTGGGAAAAGAGGGCGCAGGCGGCTAAGAGCCGCTGAGGGAGTGCCTACGAAGGCAAATTAATGTTAGTTAATACAATAATTTAATTTAATTAGAGTTGGCCTGAGCCGCCAGGAGACAGTTCAGGTCGTTTGACAGTTTATTAGGCGGGTCCGAGAGAGAGTTTCTCGGCCTGCGGACACGATAGCGAGAGGGGAGTGGGGCTGCATAAGAAGCTGCCTCACGAATTAATTGGTTTGGGTGCGACTCTGAGGCTTTGAAGAAGTTCTCAGAGAGTTTTTTAAGAAATTGTTGAATTGTTGGGAGCTCTAAGTCCCGATGAAGGTCGGCATTACGGACGTACCAAGGTGCGTTCGCAGCTCGACGACAGAAGAGGTTCTGAACTATTTGGAGTTCATTTATAATATTAGGGTTTGCGTGGGCAAAGACGGGGCCCGCGTAGGACATGACTGGTCGTATACAGACCTTGTAAAGGGTACGCTTGTTTCGAAGGGACATTTTACTGTGTCGGCCCAACATACTGTTGAGCCTACTCAGATAAAACCGTGCGTGACGGGTTACTCTTTTGACGTGGGGCCTGAAAGTGAGCCCTGTGTCTAGAGTGACACCTAAATATTTGGCGGACGTATGCCAGGGGACAGGGGTCCCTAGCATACGTATTGGTGGAGTGTTTTTGAGACGGCGTCGTTTATAATCGAAGTGAACGGCGGAGCTCTTCTCCGGGTTCACATCGATGCGCCATTTTTTGAACCAAGCTCCTAGGTCATCAACTGACTTTTGGATCTTGTTCCGTATGAAGGGTAGTGAGACACCTTTGCAGTAGATGGCAGTGTCGTCTGCGAAGAGGGAGAGTTGAACACCTTTCGACGGGATGGGAATGTCGTTGGTGAACAGGATGTACAGCAGAGGAGCAAGTACTGAGCCCTGAGGGACACCAGCCTTGATAGTTCGCTGTGAAGATAGGGTGCCTTCGTGTCTAAAACGAAAGGTACGATGTTTTAAATAGGAGGCCACGAGACGAACTAGACGATCGGGGAGACCTATTTTGTAGAGCTTGTAGATGAGGCCTGTGTGCCAGACTCTATCGAAAGCTTTAGCTATATCGAAAAAGACCGCGATGGTCTTATGACGACGAGGATAGAAACCGCTGAGGATATATTCCACAATGCGGTGAACTTGTTGGGGACATGAGTGTTTGGCTCGGAAACCGAATTGATGGGGAATGATAAGAGGGTCGCCGTCTGTGGGAAACAGATAGCGCCTCATACGCGTTTGGATGACTCTTTCGAAGAGCTTGCCCATTGCCTTGAGGAGGCTAATGGGGCGATGGCTGGAGGGGGAGGTTGAGAGGCTTGCCTGGCTTGGGAATTCCAATCACAGTTGCCTCTTTCCACGTAGTGGGGAAATAACTGAGGTTGAAGCAGGCGTTGAAGATAATAGATAAAAAGGTTAACACCTGCTCAGGAAAGTGTTTTAGGGCTTGGTTGGAGATGCCATCCGCGCCCGGAGCCCTTTTGGGCTTAAGTCCTTTGATGAGGGATGAAATCTCATCATTGGACACAGAGATAGGTTCGGAGGCCGTAGGGGGTGAGTTCCGGCGGCGGACCTCATCCTCCACTGCCTGGACGTGAGAGGGGTCGACGGGTTGAGAACTAGGAGAGCATTGAGCGGCAATGCTATCTGCAAAGCACTCAGGCTTTTCCTCGTCCTCGAAGGCAACCGTGCCGTCGGGACGGGAGAGAGGGGGAGTGTGGGTGATAGCGTCTATGCGGAGGGCTCTAGCCATCTGATAGTACGCTGTGTGAGATGGAGAGATATTCTCCATGAGCTTACTCTTTTCGAGGTCTCGAAATTCAGAGAGGCGGAAGCGGAGTTCTCGTTGAAGACGATTGGCCGCGCGCCTATATTCGGGGGTGGGATATTTTGCTGCTCTCCGGAAAGCAGCTTTTTTAGCTTTTAATAGGTTGCTAATATGTAGGGGAAGCCCACTATTGTTAGCAACCGGGACGACCCTTTCGTTCTCCTTAAGGGAGGATTTAATAAGGGTGGAGAGTGAATCGACCGCGGTGTCGATTTTTTCGGGACTATCTAAGTCCGACGGTAGGGAGATGGTAGAGTCCTGTGAGTCCAAAGCTTTAGCTAGGGACTCCTTGAATCCCTTCCAGTTAGTGAAGGTTTTCGTGTGTGTTGGGGGAGGTGGCTGATGGCCAAGAATGAGGGAGACCGGTCGGTGATCTGATCCTAGATCGTCTAGTGTCTCGATTGCTCTGAGGTTGAGAGAAACTCCTTGGAGTAACGCAAAATCTAACACATCGGGGGCGTGATCGGTGTTATCGGGAAAGTGAGTAACACCGAGAGGACTATGGACGGTAATATCAAGAGACTGCGTGATATCGAGCAGTATCTTGCCACTAGGGGACGTAGTGCGGCATGTCCATTCAGTATGCTTGGAGTTAAAATCTCCAAACATAATGACTGAATTGCCTAAAGATAAAATGGCCTCAAAATCTTTTTTGAGGGGATAGGTTCCTGAAGGGATGTAACAGGAGGCTATGAGGATGGACTGATGTCCAGTCATAGCTAGCCTGCATACCGTGGCTTCCATGTTGGTAAGCTGCGGAGTAGAAATGGGCGAGCAATGAAGTGTCTTCTTGTAATAGATGGCCGTTCCGCCGCCTCGGCGGTCGGGTCTGTCGTTACGAAGAAGAGAGAAGTTTTTAATAGAAAGGCCTCTAGTGTCCTTAGCTTTGAGATTAGTTTCCTGTAGGAGGAGGAAATTGACTTCACGATTCCGAAGAAAGAGCTTAAGCTCTGGGAGGTTATTTCGCAAGCCGCGAATATTAAATGATACAAGCGATAAACCCTTAGGTTTGATACGACCGTGAGATTTAGGTAGAGTGATTTGCTCAGTCATTGAAGTTAAGTTAATTAAGTTAACTTAACTTACAACGCTAATAGAAGATTGTTGTGTTCTGCAAGAACGAGGAGACGTTCTTGGGGGGACTTCGCCGCGCGCAGTTTGCGTGCTACTACGGTGATTTCCCTAACATCGATATTCCTAATAGCGGAATATAGTGTGTTGTAGTAGTCAGGTGTGGGCTCTGCTTCATGTACGTACGAGGTTGTCCGCGGTGGGTCTGCCTTTTTGGGCCCCCAGGGAAAGACTGGAGGCTGCATTGGCTAGGAGAAGCCCGGAGGCCTAGGGGGACCCTGAGAGGGTCGAGAGAAGCCCTGGATGGGCTGAGAAAGGCCCTGACGGGGCCGTTGTTGGAGGGCCGGGAATGAGCGGTCATTCACCGGCGGTGGAGCTTGCCTACTGGGGCGAGGTTGAGGTGCGCGTGGGCAACCCCTGTAGTTAGCCGGGTGTCCTGTCTGGTTGCACAGGACACAAGCGGGCGGGGATTCGGCGTCTTTGGGCCGGGGACACTCTTTCGTGTTATGAGGTTCGAGGCACTTAACGCACCTGGGTGGGGCGGAGCAGTTGGCCGCCGCGTGACCATAAAGTTGGCAGCGGTGGCACTGCGCCGGGAAACCGCGCCTATGTGGAGGCTCGACCTTCACTCTCGACAGGCCACACACTGCGCGTACCTGCCGGAAGATGGCTTTTGCCTCCGGTACGTTGGTTAGGATTATGAGGGCAAGGTTGAATCTCTTGCCCGTCCTACTGTGCATTTTGTGCACTGCTTCTACGAGGAAACCTTGGGACTTAAGGTCCTCAAGGATTTCCTCGTTGGAGAACTCAAAGGGGACGCCTCGGATGACGGCCCTGACTTTGCGCTCTTCAGGGAGAGCGTAGGTGTGGTACGAGACTCGTTCGGCTGTGAATAGCCGGGTGATTTGACGGAAATCCTCGATCGAGCTTGGGATGATTTTGATCGCCTCCCCGAGGCTGACAGCATGATCGTACTTTATACCTGCGTTGTAGCAGGTTTTTGACAACTGGGTGAATTTAGCCTTGTCTCTTAGGAAGACAGGGCAGGACGGCGGGACTTGCTTCTTAGCAAGGACTGGAGCACAACGAGAGGCTGGTTGACGTGTGGGGATGTCTAGTGACATGAGTGGGACGGCGGCAGCGTCGGGGGCTGCTGAGGTTGTAGGAGCGGCAGGGGCCGATGAGATAGGTGGGGTGCGTTTTAACGCGGCGCGCTTACCGTTGAGCTTGGAGGTGACGGTGATGAACGTGGACTCCCCGGTTCCGTCGGAGTCAGAGGACTCCGATGAGCCGGAGCCTGAAGTAGTGGCGGGCCTCTTCCGGGAGGTCGGCGCCGAGGACTCGGAGCATGCGTACCCTCCATTTCTAAGGGGGCAGATTCAAGGGGGGGCAAAGGAGTTCCTCGTTTCGAGGTAAGACGCGATTACCGGCGGCGGATGGTGTGCCTGAAGGGCAGGGAGGGGAGCCTGGGCTGGCGATGGCGGCGAGGACCGTCTCATTGCCATTTAAACCGAATTGGTTAATGAGGGCGGCGAGGGACTCAGTGAAGCTGGATGTGGCCATTTTGGGTCAGTAAGCTACGCTAGGTAAAGATGAGGACGGGTCCCTGTTCTCGGTAGAACAGGGACTAGATCGCGAGACGTACTACGACACACTATGCACGTAATAGTAATGCAAGAACAACAAGAAAATAAAGGAGACAGTACAAAAAAAATGATAATGAAAATGAAAATGATAATGAAAATGAAAAGTGAAAATGAAAAGCGGAAGTCAGTCAGACCTCCCTGCCCGAAGACAGGGGGGCAAGAACTGTAGCGTGAAAGTGACTCACCGGCAGCCTCGACACTGTTCCGCGTGAGCAGGACAGCGGAGGCGCGTGAGAGCGAGACAGCACTACCGTACTGTACGAGAGATCGGACCACCAGGAGGCGACCGTCCGAGAACGATGCCGCCGGCGGACCGAGCACTGCGTCGGCGCTGTACAGCGCGAGCGGGACAGCGGGGGCGCGAGAGCGGGAGAGCACTACCGTACAGGAACGAAAGCGCGGACTACCTGGATGCTACCGCTCGGAAGCGATGCCACAGGCGGAATGCTGAGCGGCGAGCCGAAACAGCTGCTATTTATACACGCCGACACATCCGCTCCCCACCAAAGTAGCGAGTGACCGCGCCGTGCGATAACAAACCAGCGACTAATTATCATTATTTTTATGATTAATATTTTTAAATATTATTATATTATTATTGTTTTATTGATATTATTATCGTTTTATTGATATCATTATTGTTATTTATTATTATTAATTTTAAAATTATTATTAAAGATAAGCCTTAAAGATGTTTAACAAAGGTAAATTAGAAACATTTGTTTGTTCATTCAGCAGTGCATTGTTACCATTATTATTTTTTTAAATCTCCAACTGTTCCAGCACACACAGCCGCAGTCCCTTACTACAAGTATGTAAGACTTCAAAGGAATGATCGCTGGCTAGGTTGTGCCCAGTGTCCAAGAGATGTATAGCAAAATGGGATTTATCAGGATTGCAATTTCTGTACGCGGCCAAATGCTCTTTATAGCGCATCCCGAAATTGCAACCAGTCTGACCCACGTAAACGGCGTGGCATTCGTCACAACAAGTTTATAAACATCTGATTTTTTACTAATATTTAACTTATCTTTATTATTACAAATATTCCTAAGCGAATTGTTTGTTTTGAATGCAACGTAAAGTATTAGCTAGTTTTTCCGATATGGAGCCTAAGTAGGTCAAACTTTGAGATCTAATCGCGTACAAAGAATTGGGAACAACATGCTTTTGTTTCTTTTTAATAAGATTATTGAGATTTTTTGAAAAACCGTTAGAGACTGCAATTTGATAAATTATATTAAGTTCTTTTAAATAATTTTCTTTACTTAATGGAACAGTTAACAGACGGTTGATGTAACAATAAAAAGCGGGAAATTTATGTTGCCATGGATGACACGATGACGCTGGGATGACCGTGTCGGTATTAGTTGGCTTTTTTTTTATAAATTTGAAAAACATGTAACGATTTTTTTCTTGTTATTGTTAAGTCAAGGAAATTAATCCTGATCATGAATCGATCCTGATTCTATCAATTATATTAATACTGTTTTAAATATCCACACGATATATATTGATATTTTTTTTTCGTTTACTCATCCCAATTTGCCACACATATTTACATTTCTTTTACTGCGGTATTAGATCAGAGTAATTACTAGCATAGAGAGTCCTAAACATAGAGTAGAGTAATATATACAGAAAGTCCTAAAATAAGAACAAACTTCTTACAGCTTATTCTTATAGCTTGGAACTCTTTAACGTGACGTTTTACAGGGTAGAAAAAAGTTGGTTATATTATTCGGGTTATTCCGTTTACCCGCCCTAGGGTGTATACTCGTAAACACGTGTTCGTTTATGCACCCTAGACGGGGTGGATAATCGGAATTCACTTTTTGATTATTGTTTCGCCTTTCTACCCTAAGTACACTTTAACAGAAAATATATATTCATACTTTAACATGTTATTGATTAATAATTTTTAATAAGCACAAACTTAAACAAAAATTATATTAAATGAAATAAAACTTTCTTGTTTTAAATAATAATAAATAATTGATACATTCTGCAATTTGTCCAGGAAATGACCAACACTAATTTCATTATTTAGTTCCTTTCTATAAGTACCATACCATTTGTATTTATAAGTATGCTAATATCTAATAAGTAATCTTTGTCTCGTTTCTATAATGTTTTTATAAATGACTATAGACAGCCGATGGGGAAAATCGGAAGAAAAATAATATACAAATTCCGATTATCCTTTCCGTCTGGGGTGGATAAACGAACACTGAATTCCAAGTATCCACCCTACGGTGGGTTTCTTAGGGTAACCCTATTATTCTCATCTTTTGTATGCCTTTAGCGTAAAGTGCGTAGGTATGTTCCACTAGCGCCTAAAAATTAAGAATTGGATTCTCGATTTTTTCCGTTTTGTCGCATAAAACGTAGCTAACAATCATATTGAACATATTATATATATATATATATAAATATCTTATATATATATAAATATATATTAATATCAATAAATTCATTGATAATATAATAGTTTAGGACTCAACTTAAATAGGGCAGTTTTTTTGCCCATAAGTGAACCAAATATTTTTTTCGAATTTAAGGATTTTTAATAGGACATGACAAAGGGTCGTCGAAAAGGGCAGAACAACGTCTGCCTGGCAAGCTAGTATAAACGATATAAAAACACATTGTCAAAAAGACAAATGATTGTTGAAGTTATTACATATTTTTTAAAATCGATTTTTTACTTGATGTAAAATATCGATTATAAAGATTTAAAAGTAGTTTTAGTGGCTTATGGTGTAGATTTATTAAGTCCGCATGGAAGGGTAAACACGATAACTTTTGAAAATATCAATTGTTCAACTAAATCTATTTTTTAATCTCTTCATCTATCATGTGGAAAGCCATGGAATGTAATTGGCTGTTAAATTTTGTTTTCTTTAGTTATAATTAATTTTTTCGGCTTACTAATTTTGAAATTTTCGATGTTTGAGCAGCCTTGTAATTACACTTTGACTCACTCCAAGCTCGCCCACCGTCGTTAGTGGATTACAGTGTCGCTTGTTTACAGCGGCTCGTGATGAAAAATATCGATCGCTGTAGAAATACGAAATATTCCCAAAACCTAGATGACGGTATGACCACCTCGCTTATGATTGCATACCCAGATCGGCGAATAAAAGTATTATTCAAGATGCGAAACGTTTTGAAATATACTTATATGTCTTGGACTTTATGGAGTGACCTGAAGGTGGATTTCGGTATCTGCTACTAGAACTTTACTAGAAGATATCTTACCTCCGGACTTGATAGAGTGACCTGAAGTTGTACTTTAGTATGCTAAATTAAATTACTGGTTATGATTAGATGACCTTTTTTTTTGAAAACGAAATAAAGTTGACGAGAAAAATAAATTAACGAGTCAGGAAAAGACCAGTTTTTACGATAATTCTTGAGTACCAATACCAAAAAATTAAAGTAATAATAAAATAGATTACTGATCATTTTAAGATATTTCTGTTAATTTTTTTAATTAACAAAAAAATTTTTTTTATTCTCAATAATAATAACATACAGTAGAATCCGTTTATTATGACTCCGCCTATATTGACCAGCCGGTTATTATGACGTATTTGCACTACGAAGTTTGGTTTTCACATAAAATTCTTTATAACAAAGTCGGATATAATGACTTTCCTTACAGTGACATGTCGCTTATTATGACCCATTTTTAATAAATTATGTCTGGTTATAATGACCGACACGATTCTTTACACCTTCGGTATTGCTCGTTGATTCCCGACGACGTTCGGCACGTGGCTTTTTTTGTTTTGATTCTCAGGGAGTAATTGACGGTTGAAGGTCACGCATTGTTTTTCGTTTGCTACTGTGAAAAAAATGTCATCTCAACGACGTAAAGCATTTACAATTGAGGAGAAAGGTGCAATAATATGCAGATTAGAAAATGGAGAATCTAACTCATGTCTCGCAAAGGAATTTGGCGTGGGTCATTCGACAATCTCAATGATTTTTAAAAACAAGAACCGCATTAAGGAATCGTTCAATTCAAATGTTTTGAAACCGAAGAGGCTTCGAAAATCACGACAAGAAAATGTTGATCAAGCATTAATTCAGTGGTTTAAAAACATGAGAAACAAAGGAATACCTATCAGCGGTCCTATGCTACAGGAAAAGGCAAATGGTTTTGCCGCGCGTTTTGGTATTCTCGACTTCAATTGTTCTGCAAGCTGGATCAGTCGTTTTAAAGTTCGACATAACATTGTGGCTGGAAAAATTGTCGGTGAATCTTCGTCTGTAGATCAAAATTCAACAACAAACTGGTTGATATCTGTGTGGCCGAATTTACGAAGACAATTTTCTGATGATGAGATATTCAATGCTGATGAGACTGGACTTATTTACAAATTAATGCCGTATAAAACTTTAAAATTTAAAGGTGAAAATTGTAGTGGAGGTAAGTTATCGAAAGATAGAATAACTGTCATGGTAACAGCGAATATGAGTGGCACAGAGAAGAAGAAATTGCTCATTATTGGAAAGTCACAAAAACCAAGATGTTTTAAAGGTGTCAAATCATTACCTGTCGATTATGCTATTAAGCTTGGATGACGTCAGAACTTTTTGAAAAATGACTTCGTGATTGGGATCGTGATTTGGTGAAGAAAAAGAAAAAGATTCTATTGCTGGTTGATAATTGCCCGGCGCATCCAAATGTTACTGATTTAAAGTCTATAACACTTGCTTTCCTTCCGCCGAATACAACATCAGTACTACAGCCAATGGATCAGGGAATAATACGATCACTCAAAACGAATTTTAGGAAGAACCTTGTGCTCAAAATGATTAATTGTCTTGATGCTAATGAAAACCACTCTTCTACAAAAGTAACGGCGCTAGATGCAATTCTGATGGTTAATGATGCCTGGAATAAAATGTCTCAAAGTACCATTCATAACTGTTTCAAACACGCAGGATTCATTGAAAGCCACAACGGTTTACCTATTCAAATATCAGAACATGAATTCGATGAAGAAGATGACATTCCTTTATCTTTGTGGTCACGAAACCTAAACTCAGATTCTTTAGCAGCACCGGAAATGTGGGAAGATTATGTTGACATCGATAGCGGTCTCCTCACATCCGAAGAACCCACCGATGAAAATATCGTACAGAACATTAGTGCTAAGGAACAACTCGAAAGTGATGGGGAAGAGGAAGTCGAGGAAGCACCATTACCTACCGCAGAAGAGGCATTAAAAGCTGCAGAATTATTATCACGATTTGTTCACAGCAATATTGAAAATGATAATTTGATCATAGCTATGTCTTCTATACACAATAGTATTAGAGACTGTTTTTACAATAAAATGAAAAAACAAAAGCAGACAAAAATTACAGATTACTTACAGTAAAAAATACACTTGTACATACAATGTGTTATTATAATAATGTGCTGATTACGTGCAATTTTGATTTTGGTTTAATATGTATATATACATACATATGTAATTACATATGTACTATGTATGTTTCTGTATTAAAATACTTAAATACATACATATTTACATAAAAAAAGTTTTTCATTTCACATAACGCTTTATATGACGTCCGCTTATTATGACGTGTTTGTCAATTCCTTTCGAAGTCATTATAAACGGACTCTACTGTAGTAAAATTAAAAAAAATCTATTATTGATTGGAATTTTTTTCTACATTTTTTCAAGATCATATGAGTAATATTAGTAGTGCATTTTGTATTTTCCGAACTTTGTTTTTATTGATGTTTGACATAAAATTATCGAAAAATTAGAAATAATAATAATAAGGTCATTTGTAAAAATTTTGAGTACTTAAAATACTTTAAAAATTAACATATAACATGAGTGCTTAAGGCAAGCACATTTGTATTTAGCAAAAGTTTTTTTTCTTTTAAAAGGTTGTAGCCGTCCTCCCATTCCATAGAATCCTCTATTGACGTGACATTAGCAAAACAAAAAACGTTGTCTATAAATTAATTTAGTCTATGACTGAGTAAAATCAAGGATTTTTATTAATCCGTTTCGTAATACTTATTTATATAGTTCTCATGGGGTTTATAGGTAATAATAACTGTGTTTGTTTAATCAACACTTTACCACGGAATGTACAAAGAGGGTATTGCTACGATAGTACAATAGCAGCAACTCTTTTGTGGCTAGATCATAATTACCAATAAATCGATTACAAATGTATTACCCGTTTTCCTCTTTGCTCCCTCAAGATATTATCCCTCATTTATTCAATAATTACAGCCTATCAAAAGGCAACTACTGAAGGTAAGACGATTGTTTTCCGTACTTTCCTCTCTTAGCAAGAGGTTTGCAATCACAATTTCTTATTATTTGGAGTTGTTATCAGGAAGCCGCTGTTGCCTATCTCTTGTTTCATTTACCTCTGTCGTTTTTACGGTATGTCTTATCATGGGAAGTCTTAGAGCTTCTGAATAATAATATAGAAATAAATAATATATAGTGATTTCTTTTACGCCGCCGCTACACGGCATTATCAAGATCCTGCCTTAACTTCATGATTACGAAATATTTTTATACAAACAGATAAAGCTTTTTTGTATATGGTCGATGATTTTATTTTCGCTAAGAAAGTGGTAAATCTATATAAAGAAAACTCAATTGCTGCATGTATGAAAGAACAACACTTGAGAACGGCTGGACTGATTTTAATGAACACTCATAATTGGATCCGGTAACTGGAGCTGTTGCCAAGATTTGGATGAACAGTCATGCGAAGCCGGGGCGGCTTGTTAGTCAATTTGGATTACAAATGGGATCCAACTTAGTTACTAGGCTGCACTAAAAGTATCGGGAATGGAATATTTCCACTGTTCCTGACATATTAAAATCTTTTTAATTGAAAACTCCGTGGTTTTAAAAATCGAATACCATTTATTTATTTAAAAAAAAGATTCTCGGGCTTGTCACAAGGTTTTGTCAAACTCGTTTAGTCGTTGAGAAAATGGAATTGACTCGAGAAAATTCAAGAGCGATGATTTATTATGACTTTCGAAGTGGTTTAACACAAAAACAGTGTGTTGACCGGATGATTTCTGCATTTGGTGATGAAGCCTCATCCAAAACCACAATTTATCGCTGGTTTGCTGAATTTCAACGTGGACGTGTCAAGCTCAGTGATGATCCCCGTCAAGGTCGTCCAAAAACTGCAGTCACCCAAGAAAACGTTGATGCTGTGCGTAAGCTGATTGAGGAAGATCAACATGTGACATACCGCGAAATTCATGCAACTTTAGACATTAGCATGAGTCAAATACAAATAATCTTGCATGAACAATTAGGTGTAAAAAAGTTGTTTACCCGATAGATACCGCATTCGCTCTGTGAAGAGCAAAAAGCGGCTCGCATTACTTGGTGCGTCAGAACTCTCGAAAGATTCCACGCAGGATCCTTAAATGCAGTATACAACATCGTATCAGGTGACGAATCATGGATATACGCGGACGAACCCGAAACAAAAAACCAGTCACGAGTTTGGGTGTTCGAAAATGAGTTAAAGCCAACAAAAATTGTTCGTTCACAGAGTGTTGCAAAAAAAAATGGTGGCCACGTTCGTCTCCAAAACCGGCCATGTTACGACTATTCCTCTTGAGGGACAAAGAAAGGTTAATTCAGAATGGTATGCTAGCATTTGTTTGCCACAGGTCGTTTCTGAACTCCGTAAAGAGAACTGCAACCGCCGCATCATCCTCCATCACGACAATGCAAGTTCTCACACCGCACACAGAACAAAAGAGTTTTTAGAGCAAGAAAACATAGAATCATTAGACCATCCGCCGTACAGCCCCGACCTAAGCCCTAATGATTTCTATACTTTCCCTACAATAAAGAATAAATTGCGTGGACAGAGATTTTCATCACCTGAAGAAGCTGTAGGCGATTTTGGAGACCCCAACTTCCGAATGGAATGGTTGCTTCAATTATTGGTTCCATCGTATGGAAAAATGTGTCAAATTTCGCGGAGAATACTTCGAAAAGCAATAAATACATTTTTAAATAGTAATGTTGTGTCATTTCCCTGATTCCCGAAATTTTCAGTGCCGCCCTCGTATGTACCCTGTGTCTGTCAAGACTTAGGTATTCATACCTCCGTAACTACCAGTTTTTAAAGTTTGCCAAACGAATATTTGCAATTTAATATAATAACTCATCACTTGATTTAGAAAACTATTTAATTCATCGTTCAAGTAATAATAAGTCTTGTCTTATTTTATTTATATTTTAAGACATATAATAAAGTAATAAAAATAAAAAACAAAAACGAGTACATCGATGTCGATTGTTGCTAACATTACGAATGAAATCACTATTAATTAAATTGAAATCACTATTAATTAAAGACGTCGTATCTTGTGGAATAACGTCACACATAAAAATAAAAATTTTGCCAGTAAATCAGAAGATACTAGTGTACTTACTCTCATATTTGACACAGTATAAAGCATAGTCTTAGAATCTATTGGCGTATAGACGACCTGACAGCCCGTAAACACGTGACCAATTTTGATTTGTCATTGTGTGCGTTAGTTAGGGATGTACATCTTACTAACAAGGATTATCTAAAATGACTGAACATTGGTGTCCCCATCGATTACCTCTAGGGGGAATTTTGCCATAGTTAACACGCTTGGCAAGCGAGTTGTCAACCACAGTTTTTTTATTATTTTGAGTTGTTATTAGAAAGATGCTGCTGATGCTGTCCATCATTTAATTTCCCTCTTACTCTCTCACTTCATTAGTGGATATTCCGTCACTGCCACCACCTGCCTTTTGTTGAAATTTAATTCAAAATGTACAAAATTGCAATAATCTCGGAAGAGGTGAGTCCACCTATAAACCAAAACAATTTTCCCCAAGAATTAGATCGGAACGTATTTTTTTATATGATAAGGTGACAAACGAGCACACAGTCCACCTGATAGTAAATGGTTGCTGCAGCCCATAGACATCTACATCTATCCTCGATCACAAATCAAAATGCAAATGCGTTGTCACCCATGAGGACTAAGATCCTAATGCCTCGTTTCCAGTAAAAAAGGGTTTCCGGTTCTCTACACTCACCATACGAAACACAACAGCATTAAGCTACTACATATTTTACGCTGGTATTCTGTGAGTGCGTGGTCTTTCCCCGGTCGAGCCGACCCATTCGTGCTGTAACTATACTACTAATATAACTGCAGCATGACTACCACGTACAAATGTTGTATTTTCAAGCATGGACAGTTGTCTCGAAATTAAGTTTTCAACATAATGTTAATCAAGTACTTAATTAATTATCTACCTATTTGTATTTCATATATTTTATAAAATGTTTGGCTGGTGAAATAAAAAACGGGAACACGGAGTACATAATGACTGCCTGATTTTTATATAAATATTACTTTTAATAATTACAAAATAGAATTAGTAACAAAAACAAAAAACAAGAACATTAAATAATTAATAAATACACAGAATTAAAAAAAAACATTTTAGCAGAATTACAAAAAAAACATTTAATAATTAAGTATATTATAGATCTTTAATTTAACATCCGACTTTAATATGAAAGTAAATTTAATAATATATGTAAGTAAGGAAACTTATAGAAATCAGTTAAATTATATTGTTCTGTTTAATGCCAATAGTTAACTGTAATTAATTTGTTCAAAGTTATCCTTTTGATATGTTTAGCCGGTGAAATAAAAAACGGAGACACGGAGTATATAATGACTGCTTTATTTTTCATTTAAGTATTACTTATTATTTATTTATATAACTTATTGACATTTAAAAAGAACAATCTTATTTAATTGTTTCCGACAAGTTTCCTTACTTAAATTATTAAGTTTACATTCATATTTAAGCCGAATGTCAAAATAAAATTCTATAATATATTTTATTATTAAATATCCGTGTCCACTTAAAATATCTTGGTCCTAACTGTGGTATACCATACATAAAAACAAGTCAGTATTGTCTCACAATATAAGGAGTACAGCTTTTTTCAGTATAGGCTTCCCGACAGCTTTAGTGATTTTATTGATTTCTCGAATAAACGTTTCACATTTTAGACAAAGGTGAATTACATCTTTTGAAGGATATGTTAAATAACTTTGATCTTAGATGAAAAATCTACAAACCGACTACAAACCCTTACATTGTAAGGCAGATGTAGAAAATCAAAATCGATGTCACTATGGGTTTCCAAAGATAAGCAAAATTCTTTTGTGATTTTGTTGTAAATCAAAGATGTATTAATTTGCTGCTCGGTAGTCAACTTCGAATTAGATAAAATGGCTATATCTTCTAAAGCCAGACAGTTGCCACTTTCAGAAGTTTTTATTTCATTGTGACAAATT